GTGATTTAAGGCTTCATGGGTGCGTACTACTCTAAACATGCATGAAACGCATGTGGAACTGACCAGAATTCCTATGCTGAAATTCATCTAAAATAAACTGTGAGGTAAACCCATCTGTGATTTACAGCACGTTAATCCCACCTCCCGTGTTTTGCAACAACCCCTTTCTCCCTCATTCACACCAAACAAAATACACCATGATAAGAGGAACCTATATAAAGCCTCCAATCACCTTCTCTAGTTTCCAAACTGCCTAATCTGATTACGATGACCTAACAACTATAAATTATGCTCAGACTACTAAACCTGTGTAACACATTTAGTTCTTTGTATGTATAAATATACATAGGTACATTTAAAATCCTGCATTTAATAAGCTTGGGTATATACAGATATTTTTATTGCTACTGCTCAGAACTGACCTTATTCACAGGTGCAACAGATGATATCCTCTCGGGACTCAAACCCACAACCTCCACGTCATAAGTCTATGCCATTAACCACCACCCACACCGTGCTGGCCAGTTTAATTCATTAGACACAACAACGGCCATGGAGTCATAGTTAAACAGCTTTTTCATAGGCGAGTCTGTTTTTTCTGTCTATATAAGCGGAGGGGGTGTGGTCAGTGGCTGGTGGTGTTGCCTGGGGTTTCTGTATATATGTGTGTGTGAGGGGGGGTTTCCTCCAGGTGCTCTGGTTTCCTCTGCATCCCCCCAGCATGTGACCGTGCGTGGGGGGATGAGCATGTGTGTGCCGGCTGATGCACTTGGGGGGGGGGGTCCATGCTCATTGCTAGAATACAGCAGCCAATTTGTAAGGTTGCCTATGTTTCTATGCTTCTTTTGTTGCTGCCGTATGGTTTTTGGTTTCGGTGTTGGATTGTATGTGTTGTAAAGCGTCCTTGAATGTGCTACATAAACAACAACAATAATAATGATCAGATTCAGTGCCGTACACAGACGTTTTCAGGGACATGTGTTCAAGCAGGGGGCATGAACCACTGATTAATTCCCCCTTTATATTTTTTCACTTTTTATGATCGTGGATTTTTGTAAAACTTACCTTCATTTGGATGATTATTATTATTATTATTATTATTATTATTATTAGTCCTTGTACCCTGCCCTTCCTGGGGTAGGCTCCAGGGACACTGTAGCCATGGATGACTGATTGGAAGAGAGATGGATGGATGGGTATCTTGAGCTGTGCTTTACTGGAAAATCTCCTCCTCGAGACACATACCATGCATTGCGCTGACACACTCGTCAATGTTCTTCTCAGCGGTGATTCTAACCCATCCTTTAGTTAATTGATACTTAATTTTCAAACGTGTACAGAAATACACTGTATGGCCTTATTACTACGCTGGCCTTTTCACCTTGGGTTTCAGACGCAGGTTTTATAAAGATATAGCAGAGTAGTTAACAACTTTGACTCGTTACATATTTGTTTAATTCTGTAGTTCTGCTACTCTTTATTCTGGCTACGGGACCCTAGCCAATCCCCCCTCCCAGCCCGCCCCACCCACCCCTCTTGAACGTCTGAGGCGACTGTCTGGCGGGACGGGACCTCTCTGCTCCGCTGAGTGCTTTTCGAGATGAGATCCAGGGAAGCAGATGGAGAAGCTGCTCGAGAGCGAAAAGCTCAAATTGGGCATAACCAAAAAGTGATGGCAGAACGTACGGAAGAACACTGGCATGGAGATGAAGTTTGCCTGCACATCGCATTGAAAACCGACCTGCACTTTCCAAAATATTAGCAAGACTTGCCCCCATCTGCTGCAGCTTCACAGTCAAAACCGTGTCTAAACTTACCATGTTTCCTTTTTTCTTGTAACGATAAAATCTATTTAACATTGCACTCATCTGCTTATACAATTAAATTCTTTCCCAACCAATCAGGCGGTTAACTGTATTTCTTCTGTCTGTGTCTTAATGTCCATGTCTTAATACGTCAGGTGTATGTATCTCAATATTTATATTCTATTTCTTATTTTTCATCTGCGCTGTAACTAATGAGAATGACATTTCACTTCAGTGTGTGACCGATGCGTCACATATCTGAAGCAGACAATGACGATATTTTAACCTGACTTTGATTTGACTTTGAACATTCTCACTCTATCTAGATTCACTGCCATTTGAACACAATCTACACACCCACAGAAGGTCCACCATCACATGATTTAAACCTACATTCACAAGTATATTCAGAATGTCATTTCACCCGGTATTTATCATGGGTGTGCAGGGCTACGGGACAAGAAACATTATCTAAGAGCTTTTCAACTCCTTAGGCTTAATTACATTGCAGTTTATCTGCACATTTTAAATTGGCATATTCAAGAAGAATGACTTTTAAAGTTGATACCTTTAAGAGCTATAAATGTTGAGTCACCCTGTCGATTCTGATGCATTATGCATGAAATCAGGTATGAAAATCATTCCTCTCTCACATAGCTGGAATTCCAAAGTGGAAACAATTAATAATTCACCGTGATAACGCCTGATTTCCGTCTCGGAACAGTGGGAAGCGTCTGACAAAGGTTCTCATGCTCCGAGAAGAGGCCAAGAGATGCTCGACATGACGACGGGAATCACAGGGGATGAGTATGGAATATCTAACTATTCTCATGTAAATCTTTTATAGCGTTTCCGACAATACCGACTGGCTGTTTAAAATTCAGCCAGGAAATCAGCGTCAACCAAGCCTTGTTATGTGTGTCCCGAGGAGTTGACAACGTAAACTGAAATGAGCAGCTACCTTCTGAACATGACAGACACACAAGCTTAGACAACAAAAGACCGAACAACACCTGCTGACAACCACTGATTTGAGGCCAATTTCAGATGTAGTGCACCTGCTTGGTGGTTGACGTTTTGTTCTGTCAGAGACATAAATGTACGAAGAGGTTGAATAATTACATAAAACAAGTAATTCATTACCATAACAAACCCCTCCTGACCTTTGTAATGTCTTTCAAGCTAACGGAACTTTCCAAGCATTTATATCCTGCCTCTTTTACACATTCAGCCCATTTCCTGTACTCTACCTTGCCTTAATCTATTTTATTCATTCTTAAACTCAAGGGGCCCATAGATTTAATCTCACTGAAGGTGTCTTTCACTGTGGTTTGCAAAGTTCAGGTCTCTTTTCTGCTGTCTTAAATTGCACTTGCTTAACACCTCTATTGTGACGTCACGGCTGCACGCAAACTTCCTGTTAGTAAAGAGCCCATCTCCAGCCAGTGCTGCGGTGAAACTCTGAAGTGAACTTTGCATCTATAATCAGCGACTAAATTGGCAGCAGGAATGAAGCCCGAATCACTGTGGCCAACAAAAAAGCAGGACGAGGACAACAGATAGAATGCCAGCTGTATGTATGACATTAATGGCAAAGGAATAAGTGAGCCAGTGAATGGGGATGGAATAACAGCGCCCCCTCTGAATGCTGCTGGTAATGCACTCTCGGAGATACAACATCGACTCCTGTCTCAGAAAGAGCCCCCTCAGGCAGGCTGCTCTAGAACCCCCCCCCCCCCCCCCCCCCCCCCCCCCCCCCCCCCGCCTACCCCGCACGGGGGGGGTGGGGGGGGGGGGGGGGGGGGGGGGGGGGGGGATGGTGATGGAGAAGGAGACCATGGATGGTCCAACAAAGAATAAACTGCTTTGTGAAATGCCTGAAATTAGCACTGCATTCTCCCCCTGTGTTCCGGTGCCACAGACGCTTGTGAACGCTTTAACACCATCCTGTACCTTAATCTAGCTGCATGCCACCCCCCATTCATCATACATGCTAACAGCAGTCCAACCATCACACAACCACACAACCTCAGCACAGAGACAAATATAGGTACAGCCGTCGGCTAGATTAACGTCTGATCATTACCTAGAACCAGCAATGCCGCAAATCCTCGGGGATAATAAGGATCTCCTGTACACACCGGCCTCTCTTAACAAAGTCTGACATAGTCATATCAACGAACTTGCTGTTTTATAGTTTGGGTTCCCAGTTCAACAGGATCGTACATTCCGGAAAGCAGCCGTCTCGCAACCCGCACTCTGGTCTCTGACAGCATACACACATGCTGGGATTCACTGGCCTGACCCTGCTCATACCCCCCCAGGGGCCAAGTGGAGGCTGTGTGGCTCAGCACATCCGGCCCCCTTTCCAAAAAACAGTAACTGCCTATACTCCTCCCAAGACACTCCCTCCCCCCCGATGTAATAGTCCCAAATCCGACTCTGTTGCGCTGGGAGGATTCTCTGAGGCTGCTTTAGAAGTTCCCTCATGGAAGGGGGTCGACACGGAATGTCTGGGTGGGGGAGAGATCTGCAAGGGCTATCAGGACACCGCAGTGCCGCCTGTCATGCCTGAACGGAGGTAATGATTGGGGCAGACACACCCGGGACCCCACACCTGGCATCTCTAACACCTTAACACACCTGCACATTCTTACACACGTGTTGCATGTGTGCGGACACATTCAGGAGACATCTGGCCACACAGGAATGCATGCTGAGATGGATTTTGCATATTGCGCACACACACACACACACACACACACACACACACACTGTACATCCTACAAAAACACCGGCACTTACATGCACACAGCCTATAAAGCTGGAATGGGGGATCGTAACAGGCTACGCACACCTCCCATTTCCCAGAGACTTTCCCTCACGCACACACACAGACACATGCGGGCGCTCCCGCTGAGTTTGCCCGCCAGCACGGATCCAGTCTCGGTGGTACCGTGTACACAGCCCTGCACGCAGGGCACAGCTGGCAACCACACAACCACCCCCTCCCGACTCTGCTGTATGCCTGCTGTCTGTCCCTGACCTCCCCCTCCCCTAACAGATTCCTGTTTTCTGTTTGTTTCTTTCACTTTCTCTCCATCGGCATCTCGATCAAGCGCCTCCGTGTGATGAGATGAGCAGACCACAGAGAGACAGGGAAAAATGAGTGCAGCAGCCAGCACTGCTCCTTACCCCTTCCCGTGGGAGTGGAACCCAGGTGCTCCGGCTGATCCGAGCCTCACTGCTGACCCCCAGGTGAAACAGAGAGAGAGAGAGCGTGGGAATTGGGATCCCAAGGCTCAACCGGAGAATGGGTGTGCGGGGGCTGGAGGAAATCCCGAGATCCCAGCACTCCGGAATGTTGCTGGGGATGCGTATGGCGTCCTTGTGGAGCTTGGCAGCGGGAGAGCAGGCAGTGGGGGTGCAGGGGTTCTTCGCTGATGAGGAGTAGACCAGCGAGGGGCTCACACTCGCTTGTGCTCCTGCATCAAGCGCTCCTCTGCAGCTTTGCCAGTTCGCTTTTCCCTCTCTCTCTCACCCCACTCTCTCTCTCTCTCTCCCTCCCTCTCTCTACCAAGCGTGCTGCGCTCTCGCTCAGCCTGTGTATAATCAGTCTTGCCCCTATGAGAGCCAGCAACCCTCCGGGCTGCGGATTCCCCCCGCCGACACCCTCTTGGCGCCCTACACAGGAGAGGCACCGGAGCAGAGAGGTTCACCCCGCAGGCTGACCCAGATCTCTTCCTCAGGATCATCTGCTTCAGTGACTGGGGTGAACCTAGACCCAGAATGATGTAGGTTCAAGTTGCTCACCCTTGAAAAAAGCATGGAGACCAGACTCTTTCAGTAAACATATCTGCTGAGCAGATGATTTCCTCTTTCCATATTTCATTCTGGTGCTGTTCAGCAGTTTATGGATTCCAGAATGGACCCGCCCTCTCTGGGCCTGGGAAGTGGGTGGGGCTACGAACATCACATCGAGGAAGCGCACAGCCGTTTTGAAGAGAGTGGGAGGTGTTCAGGTTCGGTTCTGCATCTCGCCACAAACCCATCTTGCACTAGGGAAGCTCCCAGTAGGGGACATTTCACAGCCCGCTGCCAAGGCATGTGTTTGACCCCCCCAGTTTGGAAACTGCAAACAGTGACATTGGTGGAGAAGGGATGGAACTGTGGCTGGCTGGAGCAGAATGACAAAGCGCTGTGATTTCTAATCCCAAAAGCACCCCCCCCCCCCCCCCGGGGTCCGTGTTACCCTTCCCTTAATGGCACACAACTCAAAATAAGAAATTTGCCATGTGAGAGAAAACAAATCAATAATAATAATAATAATAATAATAATAATAATGCCAGGAGAGTCAGGGCACATGGAATACATCTCTTCCATTTAGGATTAATCAGTGACAAACAGTGACTTTCATCTCATTGGCCATGAAAGGTACAGCACCTCTCCCACCAAAAACCCCAAGCGAGCCCCCAGCTGCCCCCACCCCCTGCCCCCCCATCTGATCAAAGGCTGCGTGACACCAGATTGTGAGCGGAGTGGCGTGGTGGTGTATGACAGATAACAGCCAGTTGGCCCTAATGCCGCTCCGGATTCGGAGCAGGCAACACAGATAAGGAGTACCAGACTTAAATGGATTTACTCACGTTCATTCGATATGTTCTGATGCATTCCAGTATTCATGTATACGGCTCGCTTACAAGCTTCAAACTCTTTATATGTGGCAGCCGGGGCAGGGGTGCAGTGCAGGAATGCTTGCTTGAACCCAGAAGAACGAATCCCACGATGTTTTACATGAGGTGGAGTTAATGCCTCATTAGAGCGTTGTACTTTTGGGAGCGAGTGCAGAGGCAGGTATTGTAAACAACCGATGCTGTTTCCTGCTCCCTGGTGTGGGGAAGTTCCACATAATCCTAGACAGCTCTATTTTGCACCTGAGCATCATGAATATTGCACAATAAATGCCTGTGAAAGCAAGATGCCATCCCCCCACCGTCATCCACCCCAGTCTACTGTAAATCCTGTAAACATTGTGAAATCCATGTCAGGGAAGTGAACAAAAACAGACGAGTCGTTTTTCTGTGGTTGAAATCCCGCAAAAGGGCTGCAAAATGAGTGTGAGGAAAGTTTAAAAAAAAAAAAAAAAAAAGACAAAACAACCTTGAAAAATGAAAAACATCGGAAAACTGATTCCATGTCAGCCAAACATAAAGTCAGGCAAAAGCAATTCATTCCACCAAAACAACTCTGCAGTTTAATAACCAAAGCCAATTCAGCAGCCCCAAGTGCATTTGACTAAATGCGTGCTCTAATTTGACCTGTAACTTGGGTCTCCAGAAATCTGTCATTATCTGTAATTATTCAGCATCAGGTTCCCAGCTAAACATTGTTTTTTTTTTCTCTTTGTCTGCTGCTTGAGGGAATATGTCGCAGCCGCCTGCTGTGAATTCACCTCCCAGCTTTGAGAAAAACATCACAAATACAGACGTCCATGCTGTGGCAGCCAGCGTTTTAAAACAACCATTCACTCAGGGAATGACATAACTGGTGTGCGTTCAGGGTAAAAGGGTTAAAATGAGCTGTAATTTCTTGTAATTTCTTGAGTGCAGATGTGTTCTTTTCCAACAGTTATTTTTTATTATTAAAAAAAAACTTTTGGTAATACTTAAAGTACTCATGTATAATGCGTTATAGATACACAATAATGCATTCATGAAGTACTGCAAACACGGCTATAACTATTTATAAAAAGGCATGATGCTTTATAGGCATGTTTATTATGAATTATGAATGCTCTATGAAGATCTCATCTATAATGCATTATAATGGCTTATACTGATCATTATAATACATTCTGGAGGTATCTACAGTACGTTATGGATGAGAGCTTCACTGAGCATTCATAATGCATAATAAACATGGCTATACTGTGTGGTGCCTTTTATAGTTATAGCCATGTTTATAATGCTTTATAGATGCATTTTTGTGCATTATGTAGGCATCTGTAATGCATTATGATGATTGCTTTAAATAAAGTGTTACCAAAACTTTCTTGTCATAACAGCACAGATCCACATAAAATAAGTCCACATTTGCTCTGTTATGACAAGAAATCATGCATATTTTAAGCTTTATACTTTGAATATATATCCCTAATTGTAGTAGTTTTGTTGATCCCTGATTGTGCCAAATTTCTGGTAAGTTCCTGGTTGACATTGGAGTCGACCTTGGACACGCTTCATGCTCCGATGATTTCCAGACTCTCGCTCGTCACCGTTATGATTTGCGGCTACAGCGATTTCATTTTTACAGCGTCCCCCACCTTTTCGTGATCTCGACCTAATCCAAAAACATACTGACATCCATCTGAATGTGAACCTTGGCCTCAACCTGGCCCTCTCCCAGAAAGCTCCCCAGAGAGGGGACATCATTTTGGGGCAGTCAGCGCCTCTCAGCGCCAGTCTGCTTATGATCTGATGCCCCTACACTTTACCCACTCCTCCACGTCTTTGAGCCGGTCCGCTGAACTAGGCTTCAGCCGGTCCATTAAGCTGCCCACATGCTCCATCGGGCTGAGATCGGGGGGCTCGTTTCCCGCTTTTCGGCACACCAACATGGTTCCTGTCTTTCGCTCGGGGACCCTCTGAGATCCGATTACACAGCCAGCTCTCAACTGACGTCATTGACCCGTCTCACAAACCCTTAAGTAAGTCAAATTATACGCAAGTAGGATTGACCCCTTCGTGCCATTCAGGAAATCTAATAGCTAAAAACATATAAGCCAGAAATATACTAGCAAAACTAAAGAACACATTAGTTTTGTGAAAGTCAAGAGCTGCCTGTATGCAATCACACTGAATCTGTACAGTCATGTATGAATATCATCGTATTTAAAGTCAGTAGATCTTTTACATAAATAAAATATTGATGTTTAGGTGTTCAGGGATATGTCTGACAGCTTGCTTTGTGTTATATCGCCTTACCTGGCCAAATAAATGTATTTATTAATGGATAATTCTGGTATCGAGATGTTTTACATAACCAGTCCAGACTTTGCATATGAACTCATAGCATTAATTGGATAATGACTAGTTAACGGGCTGTGGAAGTTGGCAACGGTGCCAGAGGTGATAATTCCATCCTGTTAATGAAGATGGAGAGACTCACGTGGTCACTCATGGCAGGGGGGGGTTCTTGTATGGTGTAAGCTGGCTCCATTTACCGCCGACAGCAACCACGGCCAAGCACCACATTTTTCAGCCTTGTCACCGCATCGATGTTTCCGTCACCCAGATCCCATCCCTGGGGTAATGTTGGAATGCCGTGCTATGCTGGAGAGCATCCCCTGGTCACCCCTCTGCGTCCACTGATGGGACAGCTCAAGCAGATGGCTGCCCCCCCGCTGCTGACAGACTGAAGAATCCACTGCCACAAATCAAGTGCGCCCTTTTTTTATAATGAAGTAAACAATGATTAAATATTAGCTGCCGAGCAACATCAAAGGAAATTTGTGAGTAACGTCTGGCTCGCTTCAGTAGCTTTGCCTGCCGATTATCGCTTCCAGTTAAGTATTATTTTAATAATCAGATTAGAAGAAAGGAAAAAAAAAGATGTTTTCCTTTTTGATGAAGTTGTTTTTCTGGATTTCTAAGCGAGACAAACTGTATTTACTCGTCTTTTTCACCAGTTGAGCCCAGCCTTACCTGAGGCTCCATAACCCTGCCAGCCTTCTCCTGGCCTCCCCCACAGTGACAGGCGTTTCACTCCACTGTGATCTATAAACAGCTTGGGGAGGAGGTGATAGCTCCCTGCCAGCGAGGAGTCCCACTCCTCGGCACCCAGACCTCCCACTTGAATCCGTCACCTTGCCGAATCCTCCAACGCTGTGACTCTGTGGGCCTGGGGAGCCTGCAGACAGCTTTCGTCACATCCCTGGCGGCTCCAGGTTTGAGGACATCCAGTTACTCAGGGCCCCTGAGGGAAGACGGTGGTGGAAAGGCCCCAAGTCTGACAGCGGGATAGACTTCGGAGGTCAGTCGTGTAAGCCAGTG